TGCTTCAGATTTCTGAATTGACTTTTTTTTTTTTTTTCATAATGGAGATATTTATATCTTTTTTTCAGAACAGTTATGGAAATTAAAATAAATACTATTTGTGAAATTATTAAATAACATATGCTCTTTAAATCATACAGCCTTCTGGGACACTTCTGGTCTAAAGTTCAGTGGGCGCATTGCAATGGACACAATCCATCAAGGAAATTATTTAATGGAAATGTATTCTGAGAGTTGCATATTTAACTTATGTCATATTTGTTAAAATATTAAAAACTGTGTATTCTTTTTAAAAGTTATTAGATGTCTATTGAAATTTCAAAGCATTGTCCTGAAATAAATAGGATAAAAATAAATAAGAATAAGTAGTTGATGCTTTTTAAATTTATTACATAGCCCTCTCTAGAATTCACTGGTATAGAAGAGAACTGAGTTTGTCATATGATTTTCATTATGAGAATGCCTCTGCTAGGATACGAGAGTTGTTGTTTACACAATTTAATAGTATTCTACTTTCTAGTCAACCATTAAAGTCCATGAAAAGGAGAAAAATAGTAAAATCTGAAGAGGACATGGAAAAGGCCTTTGGCCATTTCGAAGGGATTAGAGGGGAGTCAATTAGCCGTAACTAACAGTCCTGAATTCATTGCTCCAGCTGGGTATTATTTTTGAGCTTCATTACACACATCTGACAATCAGAGGCACTCACACAGGCCTCTCAGGGCTCCCCTATGAGAACAGATACGGGAAAGTGTTTTGTACTCCCAGGTGAAAAGAAAGAGACCTTTAGATACGACAGATCCAGAAGAGCAGCTTGCTTTTCTTAAGGGTGTGTATGCATATGTTCAACTTACAAATATTATTTATTAAATGCTATTGGTTACTTTGCAACTGCAGTTGTATATAGTTGTTGTCAAAAACATACACTCTTTTCATTGAGTTTCCACGTGAAACGTTCCAATAAGGAAGAAACAGTTTACATTTTACTCCTGTAATGAAAGTGTGAGTGATCACAACACTTTTACAAGTGTGTCACTTGCTCATACTAAAGATGTAAAATCACTAACAGACTCTTACTACTGAAATCCCTACTATTCTACTTTTACATTTGAAATAGTCCAACATGGTCTTATTTGGGCTGAGTTGGGAAATACATACTTTATTGTGTTTGAGATGCTTAAAGGTATTCAAAGAAATGCTGAAGAATTTTAAATTTTGAATTTTGTAAAAGCGTATAGATTCACTGGTTTAAAATTACTAAGGGAGAAAAAGGCAACCAATGAAAATTCTCTTTCTGGCCAGTTTCCCTCTCCAGTAGAACACTGTCACCAGTTTATTTTGTTCAATGTCGGGGACTCTACAATTCCAGAATCCTAGTCTCCTACATACGTATCAACAGAGAAAGAGATTAAGGGTCAGAGATATAGACTGGCAATGGTTAACAATGAGAGGAGAGATACACTCACCTTATTGAAAAATAAAGAATGATTTCAGTGGAGCAAATACTGAAGCCTGTCAACTGTGCAGACAGCAGTTCCACACACAGATTTTTAGACCAGACCTGTTTGACCGGTTTGGTCTCAGAGCAGCTAAGGGAACCCAAGGAGAAGTAAGACTCATGTAAACAAAGTAAATATCCATTTGAAGTTCAGACTTTCTAAAGATAGAGTTCAGGAAATTTAAAGGGCTGGCATATAGAAGTTGAGAAAAGGAGGAAGATAGGAGAGAAGAGAGTTAAAGAGAAAAGGGGAGGGGAGGAAAGAAGTATAATAATTGCTCAGATTACTATTGAAAAATATAAGATGGTAAGTCAGTCATGTTTAAGTTTCTTCTTCTATTTCAATATTTACTGTCCATGTGACTTCGGGAAAACCTTTCAATGTTCCCATTTGTAAAATAGTAACTTCATTAAAAACACTGTTTATATAATATAGAAAGTTACTGTAATGTATATGGTATATATTCTCTCATGACTAATCATGACTAATGAGACAGTTTTCAATCTCTGCAGGATTGTTCTGTGGTTAAAGTTTATTCATATAGCTCATCTGTATGATGGAGAAAAATCTGAAAACAATCTATTTTCTTTAAATTTGAAATAAGAGAATCCTTAGCTGTACAACTCATAAAGAAAATATGGGTATATCACTCAAAACCTGCCCAAGTTGAAGTTAAGTTAAATGACTTTTTTAAGGACCGCCGAAAATATCAAAATTAAAAATAAGGGCCACTGTACTTCAGCAGAGAAACTTTAGTGTGACGATATTGTGCCATTTCTTTAACATCTTAATGAGAGCAATTCTAAGCATTTTAACTCCCCCCCCCCCCAATATATTATGATGAGGGCAAACTTTGTAATTAGTGGCCTCTAAATTTTAATTGTATCAAAGTCTTGTAGATTCATCTTTCCTGAACTAACTTATTCAATTATCTAATATTGTTTTCCACCTCTAAAGACAGAGCCAAAGACTGCATCCTAGAAAAGTGGCACCGGCTACCAATGCTTTTTATACAAGTCTTGATTTGTTAAGATGTTTTAGACTCCTAAGCAGTTTGGATAAATGGGGACAGAGATAAACCTTATTAGGGGCATTTTTTACCACTGTTAAAAATTCACTATATGGCCCAGGCTTCAAGCAACCATGAGCACTAACTGTGTCCTTGTGCTTGAGTCTGCCTTGGCTAATGCCTAGCAATATTTTCATGACTCATTCTGAGGCATGGCCTATGGTAAATGTCTCAGTACTAAGCAAATACCATTAAATGTTTCAGTACTAAGCAAATACCATTAAATTAAATTAAATACATTGGAAAGAAGTCTATTCATGCAAGGTGGGAATTGCAGCACAAGTTCCATAGACTGTGATTAAATTAAACCATTTGTCATAGTCTCAAAAGCCTTGTGAGAGACTGAGTTAATTCTTTGGGCTTTTGTAACAGTAAATTCCCTTGTAAATACACAATTTGACATGCATGTCATCTTACATTTCTTTATCTGGTTCCTGAAACTTAAAAATAAAATGTATAATATAGTCTACCTTACATGGGTTTAAGATTAGTCAGCATCTAAAACCTCCAAATTTCTAAATTAATAATTATAGAATTTGTTAGTGCTCACAGCACTCTTCTTTCTAATGATTTCTTCTTCTCCCTCCTTAAGTTAATGCTGACTCAGACATCATTAGGAAGATAATAATGGTCAGTATATAACTTGAATCTTAGTTTCAGAAATATTTCAGAGAAATGTACATAGTGCTTACATGTTTGTATCTGTTTTTTTTTTTTTTTTTTTTTGGTACGTGCCCTTAGCAGGAACCGAATCTGGGACTCTCTGGTCCACAGGTCAATGCTCCAACTGCTGAGCCAAACCGGCCAGGGCCCATCTATTTTTTAATACTGTCAGATGTTTAGTGGGTTACATTCACTATTACAAACTTTTGTCAAGGAACTGCTCACATTTTCATTGCACTAATCATCACAAAAAAATAGTTTAACTGTATTATATTTAAAATTATAATACATCCATTAGATGAGAAGTTTCTTTCATAAATTTAGACATTTAAAGATAATATTGGTCCTGGAATAAAATTTTTGAACTTTAAACTTTGCATTCTTATTTGATGGGATCCCTGCATATCTCAGCTATACAGAAAGAGTTAGAGACAGTTTTATGTAGACTGGACATAACAGGTAGCGTTTAGACACATGAGAAATGTGTCTTCATCACCTCTTCACTCCCTCCTACCTGAGATTTAATTCAACTGCCCCACTTCAGCAATGATTTTGCACTCACAGAAGTATTTTCTATGACGAAGTGTATAAGAATTAAGTTTCTACTTTAAAAAATATGTTTTTATTGACTTTAGTGAGAGAAAGGGAGAGGGAAACATCCATGGGAAACATCCATGAGAAACATCAATGGGCTGCCTCCTGCACGCCCCCTACTGGGGATCCAGCCGGAAACGCCGGCATGTGCCCTGACCAGGAATCAAACTTGTGACCTCTTTGTGAATAGGGCGCGGCTCAACCAACTGAGCCACACCTGTGGAGGCAGTTTCTGCTTTACTTCATAAAGAAAATTATAAGGAACTGGTGAGGAAATAACTCTCCATAGTCCCTTTGTATAGTGACATCTGCTGGACTGTAGCCCACAGTGATTTTTAAGCAAGTACCTGCTCATTTTATTGGAGTGGAAGGTCACTTCCCCTGCTGTTCCGATATCTAGCTCATTCTGGTCCGGAGAAATAATTTTCACTAAACATCAAACTCAGTTCCAGAGTTTAACAAGTTTACCTGAAAGTAAAGCTAGAAATATACTCCTGATGTCTAGATTTGTAACCCTCTATCTGTTGGCATAATTCAGAACAGCTTTCCTCCACATAATTGTAAGTAATTGCTTGTAATTATGTTTTGGGAGTATCCTGGAGGAAAAGGTACTGGAAATGAGCCAGTGTAGAGAGATCAACAGAACTACTGCCTTCAGTACATTAAGTAAATGCGATAGAAAGCAATACCCTTTAAAAAAGATAAACTATGAGGGGATTGTTGGTTTATGACGACCGATTTTAGAAATTTTGCTGCAGGAAAAGGACACGATGCATGCTCTTTAAAGAGGCATCTCTTTGCCTTAAAAGGACGCAGTGATCCTTCTCTGGGAAAAAAAAAAAAAAAAAAAGACTGCTTCTTCCAAGAGTTGCCGGTAACAAACAAAAACCCCGGAGCACACCCTGTAAGTTGCTCATTCCACCGCGGCCAGCGAACGAGCCGAGCGGCCCTGCTGGTCCCCTAGCTGCTGCAGCGCAGACTTGCATCTCCCGGCAGCGCGTTCTGCGGGCCGCCCCGCCCTCCGGCTCCCGCCACCCTCCCGCGGGCGCGCCCTGGGTGGGGTCTCGCGGTCGCCGGAGCCGCGGCCGGGTGTGCCGAGCTGCTGCTGCGAGCCGGCTGGGCGGCGCGCCGGGGCCGCGGGAGCCGTGCGCCGCCGCTGTAACCGGACACCCGCGCTCTCGCCCCCCACGCCCGGCCAGTTTCCATTCACTCCGAGGCGCTTGATTGAGCGTCGCGGAGAAGGGCTCCGGGTGCCACGGCGCTGCAAGGCGGAGGATTCCTTTACAAAGAAACTCCGAGGACCGGGAAGAAGGAATTTCACCGCTGGGACGCTCTAGAAATTAAGGTCTTCTGGGAAAGGGCTAGAGACGCACGCGGAGCCAAAGCGGTAGCAAATTGATTTTTCCGTGCTGATCTCTCCCCACCTCGGTAAGCTGGGCTCCTTATTTTCAGCATTACACATTTAGCGGAATATACCTTTTGGGGCTGTGTATCGACTTTTCACACATCGCTGTGCTCAAGTCTGCTTATTTTCTTAAGACCATAGGCAGTTTGTCAGGGAACTGTTTCCCTTGCTGAGAGCGCCGTTTGAGTTGTTTCTTTAGGTTATGACACCTGCGGAGAGTTAAAGTTGAGTAGTTCAGTGACTTCTACGGCAGAAATTGTCGGAGAGGACATAAAGGAGTCTTTTCCTTACATTATTGGTGTTTGGATCAGAAGTGAAAACAGCAAGCAGCTTAAGTGTCTGAGTTAAAGGGAAGTTCTAAAATAGGGGGTGTGAAGCATGTGTAAGACACTTGCGTTGAGTCACTTTTCTCTAGGTAGGCTGGAAGTCACATTACACTATGTAGTCGCTTCACTTGACCTGTCATTCCATCTCTATTATTATTATTATTATTATTACTGCAATTTGTGGCATGTGACTCTTTTGGAGAGACATACCTGATAAAATACTGATAATAGCAATATGTAAAAATGTGTAAATATTATTAGCCTCCTTAATAAAGACACAAAGGATAGGCATATTTAGGCTTTTTACCAGGGAGCAAATGACTAAGGGAAAGTCACTCCATAAAATCAATTTTCTTCTAAGTTAATTTAGGGATGACAGGGTGAAGAGGTTGTGGAAGCAGGAAGAAACTGTTTCTTTTGAAAATTACCAACACAAACATCTCTAAGCTTTCCTCCAACTGTGTGGTAAAAGAGGAACAGTATTTTATTTCTAAGTCCCATAACATGTGTACCACCTAGGAAATAAACGTAATTTTTGTTCAGAATGGTATGTTCAGTTTAATTGTTCCTTTTCTTCTGTATTAATGAAACAGTGTTTACACCTTTTAGTGGCATTTTTATGGAATAAAATCAGTGATAAAATTTTAATTTTAAAAGCCACATAATATTGAAGATCAGAATTGTAACCTATAAAAATTAATTTCTAGGTTAAATTGTGTCATGCCATTTAGTGTATAATTATGCTAGACTCAAAATGATAGGGTATTTTTATGGTCCTGAAATTATTTTACATATTGCGGCCATTGGAACTTTTATAGATCTGTAGTTACACATTACCTGATTTTCCTTGGTATTCAGACATTAGTTAATAGCATGTATCAATTTTATAGCTATTTCAAACAGTACTTGTCTCTCTGATTTATCTTTTGGAATTTTGACAGCCACTTTCTGGTTGATTTATTTTAAATATGCATTGAGGAATACATGGTTCACTGGATTGCTCACCACTAGGTCATTGGTTTGAATTTGGCACCAGTCCATGGTTACCTCATCTGCATCATTTAACAGCTGCATGGTAATTTGTATAAGTTGGCTGATAACTGATTCGAGTAATTTCATTGATCAAGGATTGATCACATGTAGATTTATGTATAGAAACATCACTTCAAAGACAAGAGCTAATGAGTATGGAAGTGAGTGGGTTCACATGAATATTCATGTGGGATTTTCCTACTATTACTGTATTTATGATAGAAAGGGATGTTTTCATCCACTAATACCTGTTAGTACCATTCTCAAGTCATTTAAATATAATGTCATTTTTAGAAAGAAGATGAAGTTTAAATATTGGTTGTCCTTTGGGAATCAATAACTTTTTCCTGGCTGCTTTGTTCTGTTTTAATATTAGCATTATGTTTTGAAAGATGAATAGCTTCTCTTTTGCAAAGACTTCCAGACCAAATGAATTGAATCCAAATTTTCACATCTGAGAAGCAAAGTCACAGCACCTCCTACTGTTTGCATGACTGTAAAGCTCTGAAATGTCTTTTGTGAATAAGGTGCTCTGTCTAGATTGCTGGTTATGTTTGTGTGGGTGTAGGTGTGCTCCTAACATGTGAAATGAAATGTAAGAAACTTATCTCTTTTTAAAAGGTATTTCCCTTGGATATTAACTTGAAAATCTGAAGAAATGGCATTCCAGGCAATATGCATGTTGGCCGGAGTATTTGTTTGTTCTATCAGTGTAAAAGGATCTCCTCAGCCCCAAGCAAGAGTTTTTTTAACATTTGATGGTAAGAAAGTTGACAAATACTCTGGGAAAATGTTATTCAATTTTTTTTCTTATCCGGATTCAAAAATTAAAGAAGATAAAGTATTATTAAGTATTATTATTTTAATTTATTATCATAAATTAAAAAAAAAATTTATGGGACTGGTTTTTGGATGACATGGCTATTTTCAATTATTAGTTAATAGACAAAAGCCCTCTACTGCATTTGTTTATGGAAAAGCTTGAAGTGTATTCTGCCCCCTTTTAAGTTTCTTCTGTGTTTGCATGTGGGTGCATGGGGGCAATGGTGAGGAACTCAAAGCCTAAAATCTCTGATCTTAATATTCACCTGGTTTGGTTGAGAAACACCTCCTGTGTGCTAATCCTTATCAGCAGAAAGAGCTATGCAGGTTTAATTACTAAAAATTTTTCTAATAAATTTTGATCATTGGCCTTGAAACTGGTCTTTCCATACAATGATGCTTCTTCTATTTCCACAAGAACTTCCTGAGGTTGGCAAATATCCTTATTAATTGAAAAGGAACTAAAGAAATAGTTCAAAATATGCTTTTGACAACTGTTATGTACAGATGTTATCTTCAGGAGCTTAGGGAAATGGGTGTGACTTCAAATTTTCACAAACATAAAAGTTATAAGGTCCTCTGAAGGAATGGTTTGCCAAATATATACATGAGCTCTAATGTATATTGTTCAGAGGACTTACAGATGGGTGATTTCAGTCAGTCACATAACCCTTACTAATTGGATAGATGGAATAAGAAATGGATAAGGAAAGTCATCCTGCCAGTCATGATTATTTATATTTTTATTACTTCTGTCAACTCTGTCTCTGCATGAACCTTAGTGTCACTAGGCATATTTTTATTTTCCTTTGAGAAACAATATACTCTAAGACCTTCCTATAGTACTATGTCTTTGAAACAGTTCCCTTAAATTTTAAATAGTAGTATGATTGATACTTGTCAGTCAGATGATTCTCTCCCCTCCCTTCCCCTCCCCCCCACACCTTTTCTTTTCACCAAGTGCTTTCTCCAAAGTCATCATAAGCCCTGGATGGGGCTTATGAACTTAGTGTGTAAGCTTCTAATAGCTTCCTTAGTTTCTAAGCCAGGCATTCCCCTTAAAATTCAGGCCTATCCAGTTAAGTTGTGAAGGAAGGAAAACAGACCCTTTGAAGTGTCCTTTAAAAAAAATTACCTGAAACATCTCACAGTTTGATTACATCTTTTTTCTCCTAAATTGAGAACTATGAAATATCTAATAAAATAAAAAGAGAAAAGCATTAAGAGGCAGTATAATTTCTCCCCTATTTTTTTAAAAATATGTTTTTATTGATTTTTTAAAAATCTTTATTGTTGAATGTATTACAGATGTTCCTCATTTTTCCCCCATTGACCCCCTCTCCCGCCCCCCTCCCACCTTTCCCCACATTATTGTCTGTGTCCATTGGTTATGCATATAAGTTATTTGGTTTATTTTATCCCACCTCCCCCCAACCCCTTTCTCTTTGAGGTTTGTCAGTCTAGCAATGAGTTTGTACTTCTTAATCCCTTCACCTTTTTCACCCATTCCCCCAACCCCCCTCCCATCTGGCAACCAACAAAATGTTCTCTGTATCTATGAGAATGTTTCTGTTCTCCTGTTCATTTTGTTTGTAGATTCCATTGTCGATAGATATGTATTCATTGCCATTTTGTTTGTTCATATATTTTATCTTTTTCTTCAAAAAGACCCTTCATCATTTCATATAATAACAGTTTGGTGGTGATGAACTCTTTTAACTTTTTCTTATCTGGGAAACTCTTTATATGGCCATCAATTCTAAATGGCAGCTTTGCAGGATAGAGTAATCTTGGTTGTAGGTTCTTGCTTTTCATCACTCTGAATATTTCTTGCCACTCCCTTCTGGCCTGCAAAGTTTCTTTTGAGAAATCAGCTGACAGCCTTATGGGAACGCCCTTATAGGTAACTAGCTGCTTTTCTCTTGCTGCTTTTAAGATTCTCTCTTTGTCTTGAACCTTTTGCATTTTGATGATGATGTGTCTTGTTATGGGCCTCTTGGGGTTCATCTTGTTTGGGACTCTCTGTGCTCCCTGGACTTGTATGTTTGTTTCCTTCACCAAGTTAGGGAAGTTTTCTGCCATTATTGTTTCAAACAGGTTTTCAGTTTCTTGTTCTCTCTCTTCTCCTTCTGGCACCCCCAAGATGCAAATGTTGGCATGCTTGAAGTTGTCCCAGAGGCTCCTTACACTATGTTCATTTTTTGGATTCTTTTTTCTTTTTGCTGTTCTGATTGGGCATTTTTTGCTTCCTTATAATCCAAATCAATGGTTTGCTTCTAGGATTTACATACTCTACTATTGAATCTGTGTAAATTATTCTTTATTTCAGTTAATGCCTCCTTCATTTCTGACTGTGCATCCATCATTTCTGACTAGTCCTTTTTTATGGTCTTGAGGCCCTCACTAAGTTCACTGAGATTCTCACTAAGTTCACTGAGCATCCTTATAAGCAGTATTTTGAACTCAGCATCTGTTAGGTTGCTTATCTCCATTTCGCTTAATTCTTTTCTTGGGGTTTTGTTCTGTTCTTTCATTTGGGACCTGTTTCTTTGTCTCCTCATTTTGGCTGCTTCCCTGTGTTTGTTTCTGTGTATTACTTAATGAGAGGTATGGGGCTAGCTGAGACCAGATGCTGCTTGTTTAAAAGAATTTAGGAAAACCTGAAGTGGGATCCAAGACAGACCAATCCTATGGTTACGTAACTGACAACAGCTTGGGTGGGCCTGAAAGTTGGGTGGGGCAGGGCCTCAGGGAATCACCAGGGCGGGACTACCAGTGTGAGCCAGGTTGCTGGAGTCCCAGATATGGCAGCTGTCTGCCACACCAGGGAAGGGCTCACCAAAGGAACAAAGGCAGCACCTTTGTCCCGGAGAAAGCCCCCTCTCCAGCCCTCTCTCCAGTGCCAAACAGCTCAGTTCTTCCCTGTATGTCTCTGGTGCCCCTCGAGCTGCCTCCCCTCCAAGCTTAGAGGGAGTGATTCTGATAAGTCCGTGTGCGGGCCCTTTAAGGAGCTGCCTGGGGCTCTAGGTGGGTCAGCTTCCCTGAGCCTCAGTTCCCGCTGGTTTTTCCAGCCAGAAGTTATGGGGACTCTCTTCCTGGCACTGGAACCCTAAGCGGGGCGTCTGGTGTGGGACAGGGACTCCCTCAATCTTCAGGGAGGACCTTCCCAGCCCAGGTAGCCTCCTGATTTTTATCCGCCACACGTGGGTGTGGGACCAGCCCGTCGGGCTCCCTGCCCCCACCAGTCTCGATGTAGCTGCTGCTTTAATTCCGTAGTTGTAGGACTTCCATTCTGTTTGATTTCAGGCGGTTTTGAATGATGGTTGTTCTGTAGTTTAGTTGTAACTTTGATGTGGTTGTAGGAGGACGCGATACTGCGTTTTTCTTTATTGATTTTTTTAAAGAGAAAGGAAGGGAGAGAGAGAAACATCGATGTGAGGGAACTATCAATCGGCTGCCTCCTACACTGCTTCCACTGGGGATCGAGCCTACAACTTCAATACTATATCGGACAGTAACTTCTATGAATAGAGTGACTAGACGTTATGATAGGCTTTTACAAATATTGCATCTATAATATTTAAATGCTCTCAAACTCAAAACAGACTCTTACAAAATAAGACCTTAATTTATAACATAACAGTATGGTAAAATAAGCTATTGATCTGAAAGTTTTATAATTCCTGATATTTTATTCTTCCCAAGAGTCTTTTTTTTTTTGCATTTATTTTCAGATAGAGTGGGAGGGAGAGAGGAAGAGAGAGAGAGAGACATTGACATGAGAGAGATACATCGAGTAGCTGCCACCCACACAACCCCAACCAGGGCCAGGGACAGACTGCAACCAAGGTACATACCCTTAGCGGGAACCCAACCTGGGCCTCTGTGATCCACAGGACGACGCTCTAACCGCTGAGCCAAACTGGCCAGGGCCCAAGAGTCTTAATAGGCAATAATCAGAGAGATAAAATATCACTTAATTTACAGACTGTTTTAAAGAGATATGTTGTCCTGGCTTGAGCTCACTGGTTAGAGCGTCGGCTCTGGGACCAAGAACATGTACCTCAATTGTGGTTCGGTACCTGGTCCTGGTCCGGGTCATGTGGGGGGGTACAAGCACTTGATGTGTCTCTCTCACATCGATATTTCTCTCTCTCTCTCTCTCCCCCCCCCTCCCTTCCACTCTGTCTGAAAGTAAATTGAAAAAATATCCTCTGCTGAGGATTAAAATAAATAAATAAATAAAGAGATATATCAATAGGGAACACACACTTAATGAACTTCCATAATTTCTAAATTAAATATAGAAAGCTTCTAAGATAAAATATATATTAGGGAAAGTACCATAGGAAAAGTACCTTGGGCAAAAACAATTGTGAAAATGTTTAAATTTTAATCATAAATTTATAGTCATTTTCTTAAGAGACTTGGTAGTATTCCTGTTTGAGATGCCTGTTTCAAATTTCTTATTAAAGTTTCTCATTGATTTTATGATGACTTATATGAGTAGGTTACTAAATTTTTTTCCAAAATGGTTTAGTCTTGACATCAAAATACAGAATTCTGTACAGGGTTGGCATGTACAGGGTATGGCAAAAGTAGGTTTACAGTTGTGAGTGTGCCAAATACAGTTTATTCTTTTATTATTTATTAATCATTGTATTATTTTCATACTAACAACTGTCATTCTACTTTTGCCTTACTCTGTATATGAATATATATTAATTTAAATACATATAGATATATACTTTCTTTCATTTATTTTATATTTCAAAATTTCTATAACTACTTCACAACCAAAAATCAGGATTTGGAAGATGCTTTTGAGGAAATTTAAATAATTTCAAGTTATATCAGGCAGAAGTCTTTTGCATCTGTATAGTCTCTCATGATTGTGTTGCCTCCTGGCTCTTTTGTCTTAAAATCTTCACTGTAACTT